GCCGTTTTGATCGGCTTGCAAACTTTTAACCTTATTTGAAGCACAATAAATTATTTATATTTGGTGGGGAACATTCCAGATATCTCCAGAAATTGGCACCAGAAAGGATCCCCAACTGGAAATGATCTCGGAGCAGAAAATTAATAACTTCTAAATTGGAGGGCAAAATTACATGGAGTGATCTCAAACTGCAAAGTGATCCCTGATTTGCATTGCAAATGATGCTAGATGGCATAAAAGCTCTTGACATAATTAAAGTGGAGCCTTGAAAATCATATTTTGCAAGTCTACGTCTTAAATATTAAATCCAATTTTTAATAATTAAATTCTGTTTGTTTGGGACTAACATTTTCAAACTTGCAACTAACTTTTCAGAAGAGGTCATAAAATGGCAATTTCATATATTCTTTTTTAATTTTTGTACCCTGCCAAATGGAAGGAAGAATAAAAGAGGTAAAAGACATTCTCTGGTAAAATTGTTTAAAGTTGTGAGCTTTCAACAGCCAGTCTGCTGTCNTAGGAACAGGGAACTCTTGTTGTAGTGTTTTGATTGGTTTGTTGGTTACTCGAATATCATGACTTTTGAGAATTCTAGAAAGAGGCTCAGTAATACCTTTGATGTAGGGAAGGACCGTGAAGCTCTGACTATTCGTTGGGTCAGCCCAACTGAAGAACATCCCAACTAGCTCTTCAAGTGAAGGTGTTGGAGGAGTCAAAGATTTCTTTCTTATGATATCAGCAGTGACTTTTTGTGGGTAGCCATTAGATTGTAATGCGGTGCTAATGCGATCAATTTCATGGGCTTTTCCAGCTTCTAGGTTTGGAAGTTTTAGGGCCCTATGTAAAAGTGTTGCTGCAGTGCTGATTTTGTGCTTTCTGTGATGATGTGAACAGAAATCAAGATATCTGTCTGTGTGCGTGGGCTCCGAGAGACATCAATGTTGAGCCTCTCATTATCGCGAGAAGTAAGGGTGTCGAGGAATGGCAGCTGGCCATTAGATTCGTGCTCGATGGTGAAGGAAATATGCTGGTCGACAGAGTTAGTGAGTCATGAAAAGAAGTAACTGCATTCTTTTTGATGACACAAAAACTGTTGTCTACATAACGTTTCCAGATTTTGGGTGGAACTGGGGTTGAATCGATTGCTGTTTCTTCAGTTTCCTCCATACATAAGTTGGCTACTACGGGGCTGACAGGGCTACCCAGGTACAGCCGTGGACTTGTTTGTAGATGTCGTCATTGTAAATGAAATAATTGTTGGACAGCACAAAGTTTAGTAAACAAATTATGTCATCAATGTCTAGATTGTTTCTGGAATGGAGAGAATAATCATCTTCTAATTTCTTCCTGATGTAGTTACAGGCTTTTTCTACAGGAATAGCCATGAATAAGGAAACCACGTCGAAGGAGACCATGGTTTCATCATCTAAGATGTTGATGTCAGCTATATCACTGGAGAACTTCTGTGAGTTAGGGACTGAAAAGCCATTTCGATTTTGAATAGGTGCTAGGACGTTGGTGAGAAATTTTGAGGTGTTGTAAAGTGCAGAACCGATGCATGTTACATGTACAATGGGTCTGAGAGGGTGTCCCTCTTTGTGATGTTAGATGGAACCACAGATGGCGGGTGGTATACCATTGTTAGATCTCAACTTGAAGTAGGTGGATTCATCAATCTTTTCTTGTTTCTTTAAATTCAAGAGTATGGCATTGAGTTCACGTTCAATTCGGCTGAAAGGGGATCTCGTGATAAGCTCGTAGGTGTTTCAGTCCGCGAGGAGAGATTTCATTTTGTTGTCGTACTCATCTCTATCCATAACCACAAAACAATTTCCTTTGTTGGCTTTCATGATGACTCGGATTGACGACCAGTGCAATGTTGTGTACAAAATCCCTTGCGGGTCTTGTCCCTGGAGTTACATTGGCGAGACAAAAAGATCATTTAGTACAAGGCGAAAAGAACATATCGGAAATACCAAACAATGTGCTGAAGGCTCCAATGTAGCGAAACATGCCTGGACCTTTGATCATACCATCGACTTTAACAATGCTGAGATAATTGACAAAGGCAGCAGTCGCATTAGAAAGACGCTGGAATCCTGGCACAGAGCGAAAACGGTCAAGGCCAGCAACAATTCGTGCCCTCTGCCGGGACAATATAACATTCTTTTAAGGAAACACTAATTTTACACTTTTAGCATTCTCACATTCTTTCACACATATTCTATTTAATATATGCCATTCGCTTGTTATATTCAAAAACTTTTAGGTCTATTTCATAATTTCATTTTTGTCCATTGAAGACAGCAGACTGGCTGTTGAAAGCTCACAACTTTAAACAATTTTACCAGAGAACGTTTTTTACGTCTTTTATAATGAATCCTGGTATCGGATCTTCAATATTTTGAGAAATAAAATGCTCGTCACTCTTAGGGGTTACTAACTAGGCTGCGATCAGGCGTTCTTTACCATTAAAATAAGTATACATACGTCATTCAGAGGGTTTGAACGCAAGTTCAAGCCAGAAAGTGATAGTTTTTAATAAACGGAAACTAGTTAAGGTAAGAGACTACTGATAAAGAATGCACCTGTTTATCCTTGTTTGATTTTCCTCAAGTTTCTTGTTGGCAGCATTCACCAGGAACTCAATATACTGAATGTAAGAAACAACGTAGTAAGGGGTCTCATTACTTTGCAGGGTTCATACAGGTCATGGAAAACCTGGAAAGTCATGGAATTTGTTATTTGAATTTCCAGGCCTGGAAAGTGATGGAATTTAAGTGAAGGTCATGGAAAGTCATGGAAAGTCATGGAAAAGCAATATGCTTGGCAAAAAGTTACTTTAAAAATTGAAAAGATAACAAGAGTCAGAAACAGGCTTTCATTTCAGTAGATTTAGACACAAGCACACATTTTATGCATTATAATGCTGGAAAATATGTTAAATGATTGTTTTGATACTCCTGTGAGAATTTAACTGCTTACCTTTGGTCATGGAAAACGCAGAAAAGTCATGGAAAAGGTCACAGAAAGTCATGGAATTTTAAAAGCTTCAAAGAGTATGAACCCTGCTTTGTTTATACAGTGAAACCTCTATCAAGCGGACACCCTTGGGACCTTCCCAAGTGTCTGCTTAATAGAGGGTGTCTGCTTAATAAAGGTTTATAACAATTGCACAATGTTTGTTAACAATTAACATTCAACCCCTCTGTACTGTAATAAAGTTCCAGGTTGTTAACGAAGCTATCCAGAGTTCAAGTTCATCAGCTTTCATTACCAACTTTAACTTGTTTGTAGTAATGCCCTTTCCATA